CGTGACGATAGGAGGCTCGTGGGTAGGTGTAATGATAGTATCAAGCAATAGGGAAGAAATAACGGTAGATACTGTAGGTAAATAATATACACAATTATACAGATACAAAGTTTATTTAAACATGAATATGAAATTAGAAGAAAAAATTGGTTTGTACTAACAGACGAAATCTATTACTAGGCCCTCAGGCTCAACATACTCACACCATTACTGGGTGGACATATTCAATACCCTTCCAACCCTACTGGGTGGACATACTCAATAGCACAACTAGGATAGTCACTTAGCACCATACATATTAGAGCAACTGCCACTACAACACTCAGTCGTCAGGAGTGATACTCAAGCAACAGCCATGGGGTCCAGCCACCATGGAGTACTATCCGACGAACTCTGGAGATCCCAGTGGGTTAATTCCACCACACAAATATAGCCCTACTGAGGTAGACCTTCATCCACCAATGATGGGGGCTGGTAGTGGTGTGTGGCTTGGTGGTCCAGGGTCACCTCGTGGACCGAGCGTTAGGGCCAGACGAGCCAGCTATGGGGGCTATAGGTGGTCTGAAGTGTCTGACGGCCGGGTCTCACGAAGGTAACTGATCCTACTGGACCTCGGACATGTCCCCAGACATAGTGGATACAACATCCACCCTACAGACACGGCCTAGGCTGCGTTAGGGACCTGTATGGATGAAGGGACGGGCACTTACTAACTGGTGACAACAACAACACGTTTCAGGGGACGTTAAAGACGTAAATATGACTTTACTCAGAGCATATCAACTACGTTACTGTAACACTTGCACAATCAACTATTAATTGGGTCAAATCACTTAAAGAAGGGCAAATTACAACACAGCGTGGAATGGCATACCTGTATGGATGAAGGGACGGGCACTTACTAACGGTTAAAATGCCCGCGGCGCCCTCACTCAAACTAGGCCAGGGAGTCCAGCTACTCCTATTCCAATGAATTAATTTACGGTACCCTCTGACGTTGAAATTGAGACTATGAACTCCTTTTCATTCTCTACTATTATCTTCACTAACAATGCTCTGACTCAGCTATCGAAAGCAAAATTAAATTGATTACAAAGGAATGGATGGCAACAGGTCCCAGCATACAGCGTCTGCTCCCATAGACAAAGGCGGGGGAAACAGAGAAAACGGGGGACGTTTCCACTGGGGGACTCGGAAGGTTTTGTGGACGTTTGAGCGTAATATGAATCCTTAAGGTTTTCAGGTTAGCTCTTATCATGACCATTACACGACGGTGCTATATTCCATACAGGTGGAGCAGTCTGATGTGTTAAGGGGTAGTGTAAGAAGGAATGACCGAGGTAAGGAGGTCACAGATTGTTATGCAATAAGTATGTGGATGACACGCCATTAATGTAAGACGTCTGGTGCCCATCTGGGTAACCAACATTTTCGTTGTTCTTCTGAGGAAGACCAATTCATTTGTATGTTTTTTACCAGTATGCTTTATAAGGAATAAATTAATTAAGACATGTTATGGTTTCACCCTTCTTTCCCCTTATCGATCTGGTCAATGGAAAACCTAACCCAATGCCTAGTCCACTCTGCACGCTACCTAACGAGCTACATGCTGTCCAGAGGGGGTCTAGTGGCAGCGACCCTTAGAAATTAAGATTCGAGTTAAGTATTTATCCTTAGTATTAGTGACCCCCAGTCTGGCAGTATATTGAGACCCACCCAGTCCTCCCTCCACTGTATGCAGAACCATATCACCCCGGGCCTTCTTTTTGTGTCATCTGCTCCCATTGGGGTCACACCTTCACCGCCTGCTGCCGACGTGATATTCCCAGATGTCGCTTCTGTTCACGTAACCACCACTCCTGTCTGTGCCCAGGTGTTGTAATTGTGGTGGCTAGCACAATGCTGACTCACGGCAATGCCCTAAACGTCCGCCTGTCCCAGGAGAAAACCCTCCCCGAGGGCTGCATCAATCTCAACCTCCCGCCCCAGCTTACCGGGCCGCCTCCCTCTGCGTCCCCTTCTCTGTCTCAAGCAACGCCTCCTTCTTCAACAACACCTGCCTGGCCTCACCTGGCTGCAACACAGCAGTCCCGGCCGTCTCCTAACTCAACTATTACTGGGCCTCCTCCCCGTCTACTCTGACTCTGTCAGGCCTTGTGCTCCCACTGGTGCCCCACCACAATTTCCCTCTGGTGACACGACACAGATCCTATCCCTCTTCCACGAATTTACCAACCGTGTTGAAAAACTCTTTTATACACTCTGTACCGCCATCTCCAACCTACACCCCCTCTTCTGGTTTGACACAAGCTGGTAGCCCCCCGGTGTGCCCCTCTTGCTCACGGCCTACTCCACCGCCGCCTGGCATCACTGCTGGCGTGGCACCGACCGAGCCTGCCCCGGTGTGCCCTGCTGCCCCCGTGCCACGTCCCGCTCCATCACCACGATACATGGTGCCTCATTCTGTCCACCCACCGCAAGCCGCACCTGCTCATGTCTCTGAGCTGTCACTACCAGGGCCCCCTATTGGACCCGAGGACACCACCCCCGGCTCCCCGTCCCCCACCGGCATACCGGCATCTGGGGCCCATCCACTCCAGTTCTCTGCATCGATGGACCACCATGATGACATGCACGTTGACTACGTATCTACACCAAGAAGGACGTCCCCTACTCTATGTTTGTCTTTGGTACCCCCAAAATGTTCTACACTACTGAGGGTAAACACAAACACTTGTTATCTTGAAAATAGGTTCTTATTCTCATACGGGAGATACACAGGGGGGACAATAGACAGAACGCTTCCACACCACAGGGACTGGTGATCTCCACTCTCTGTATCACTGCGCGCTGGCATGTACAGATGCCAGCATTCACAAGCTGAATACATAAAATGTAAATATGGTAATTCACATACATAACATGGTGCATAATAAATGGAAATATTACATAGGATTAATACATGTTCTGTAATACTTTACTATACATAATTAATAGAGTAATATAAGAATACACAGCTTAAGGTACTACTTCGTGTCCATATTATACACCTACCAACCTCTCGACGTCCCCCTTGATGACGACACCACCGACGCACACGCCATCACAATCACACTAAAAGGTATGTCCCTCAATACTGTCAATGCCTATGTGCCTCCCTCCACCCCTACTGTACCTGTTCTACCACAACATATCACCTCCACCCGCACCCTCCTAGTGGGGGACCTCAATGTCCGACACCTCAATCTCTGCTCCCAGGGGCCCTACCCAAACTCCCAGGGTAACTCCCGATGGCCCTGTTACCAACACCTCTTCGCTCCCTGACCAGATATCCCTCCTCCTAAAGACAGGCCTGGCACTTGACATTATTAGGGACCTGCCACGCTTTGCCATAAACAGATAAATTGTACTGGGAATTTTCCCCCCACACAATCATTTTGTCACTTTATGTTACTTGCTGACAAAACCCATGACCCTTGAGGCGTTTACGCCCTTCATGCATGAGTCATAGAGGCAAGCATGAACTATGCATGCTTCCCAGATAGGCGCTGTAAATGCTTTTGCTCTTCACCTTGCACAGGATGTAAGGGGGTGCCCAATAAACTAGCCCCCATGGGGGCAAATAAAAAATATATGATATAGGACAGGGGTGGGCAAAGTACGGCCCGCGGGCCACATTTGGCCCGCCAAATTATTTCTGTGGCCCTCCACTGCATTTGGCAATCATAAAAAAAATTCTTATTAATTACAGAAAGGACAATTTTGGAAGTTGGGTGGACATAGCAGCAATACTGGCTTGTCGCTGTTAACCTGTGGCCCGCAAAGTGTACCACCATTCATGAAGTGGCCCGCCATCGAAAATAATTGCCCACCCCTGATATAGGATGATATAAGAAACGTTAAGATTATAATTATACAGGTATTATGTTCATCTGGTTGTGACTCGGTAACTCATCAAGATTGTAGCTATGATACAGGCATGCTACATTACTAATTTTTTGCACCTAGGAGTAATAGAGATCTTCGATCACGAAAACATAAAATTTTGATTCTAACATGATGTGCCCCCCCCCCCCCAAAAAAAACCCCTACTACTAACGACAATGTGCCCCTCGAATTTCCAGCGTTTGCCTTATGTTCCAAAGCACACGCCCGTGAGGTCAGAAAACTGCTTTACCGATTTTTATGAAACTTGATAACAACACGCTGTGGGATCCATGAAATATTTGCAGTCACCTTTTTCTTAATCGGGTAACCCGAAATTAAAACCAGAAAAATTAACGACAATGAGGCATTAGACAGTCAGTCACCAACGAAGTTATCCCACCCTCTTTTAGGGGTGTTTTGTAGGGTGTAAAGAGGCCAAATGCACAAATCCCATTCGTGTAACAATGTTATATTTGTAGGCTTAATACCAACGATTTTCATGTTCGACCCTCCCTCCTATGATCCGACTTTATTCAGTAATCTGATGATATATTTCGCGAGGAGCTGTCCCGGTGTGTTACAAATAGACAAGAAACACGCATTGGTGGACTATTATACATGATTAATATTTTGATGCCATGTTCAATATAAGTAAATGCAACTGTTATTTATTGGGCCATCCCCGATCATCCTTAGATTATGTGAATGCTTCTGATTCACGAGTCAATACTCCCGAGGTTCACACCTCGCAGAGAGGGTGGATTGACCACGCTGACTGTAACAGTTGGAAAAGTCCCCAACTGTACACTCTATAGTACTTGCATTGTATATATGCATACTAAATTACATATCTGCATTGTATATGAACTTGCTGAACCTATCTTAAACTTGCATGACTACTTTCACTGAATATCTCTCAGGTGGAATCTTCGTGCTATGCTACTGCTATTATGTGGCGCTCTGTCTGATGCTGTCCCGCCGCGAACAGCCTTTCTGAGTAATTTATTTGAATCTGATTTTGTCTCAGGGTATGCATGTGATAACTAAGTGCAAAAAAGGAAAAAACAACTTACCTAAAATGTGTGGCATGTCCTCGAGACAACTGTCACTAAGGTCGAGCTCTAACAGGTTTACGAAGTTCAGCTCGACGATAGCATCAAGATTATTTCTATTGAGGGTCACGGTCAGAAGTTTGGGAGAATTTTGAAAGCTGTCTGGGTCTATCTGCAACATATGAATAATAGGTTAGTGTCCACTGTATATAAATATGGATCACCTGAGGATTACCCCCCCCCCCTACAGCATATTTCACCTTAAGATCAACCATCCTAGAGCTAACCTAACCACTCTAATGCTAAATTAACCTTACCATACTAATGATAATCTAACCTAATCACCTTAAAACTATATCTGATTTGTGTAGTTTGTTGTTTTTGAGTACATTGTATACCTGCACTGTCCAAGGTCAGTACATTGTATACATGCACTGTCAAGGTCAGTACATTGTATACCTGCACTGTCCAAGGTCAGTACATTGTATACATGCACTGTCAAGGTCAGTACATTGTATACCTGCACTGTCCAAGGTCAGTACATTGTATACATGCACTGTCAAGGTCAGTACATGGTATACCTGCACTGTCCAAGGCCAGTACATTGCATACCTGCACTGTCCAAGGTCAGTACATTGTATACCTGCACTGCCCAAGGTCAGTACATTGCATACCTGCACTGTCCAAGGTCAGTACAATGTATACCTGCACTGCCCAAGGTCAGTACATTGTATAGCTGCACTGTCCAAGGTCAGTACATTGTATACCTGCACTGTCCAAGGTCAGTATATTGTATACCTGCACTGTCCAAGGTCAATACATTGTATACCTGCACTGTCCATGGTCAGTACATTGTATACCTGCACTGTCCAAGGTCAGTACATTGTATACCTGCACTGTCCAAGGTCAGTGCATTGTATATCTGCACTGTCCAAGGTCAGTACATTGTATACCTGCACTGTCCAAGGTCAAGACATTGTATACCTGCACTGTCCATGGTCAGTACATTGTATACCTGCACTGTCCACGGTCAGTACATTGTATACCTGCACTGTCCAAGGTCAGTGCATTGTATATCTGCACTGTCCAAGGTCAGTACATTGTATACCTGCACTGTCCAAGGTCAATACATTGTATACCTGCACTGTCCATGGTCAGTACATTGTAGACCTACGTTGTCTATATACAGTACATTGTATACCTGCTTTGTGAATGTTTATGCACAGGCAGCACAGTACAAGTTGAAACACTGAAGTTGTATTACTATTTTATTGAATACAAATTTATCTAGCGTAGTTTCAGGTGATCGGTTTTCTCTGTTTTAAAAAAACTAAGGTGGGTAAAATAAAATTGATTGAGTATTACCATGAATATTAAATTTTCTGTGGTGAAGATACAGCAGTCAGAGTTTTGGGGAGACAAATACTTTTTTGTTCCGCAAAAATCTTCATGTTTACAATAGTTTTATTATTTTCGCCATTTATAAGCTTACTGGCCGTTCGGGTGGTTGGTCTATCCAGTGTTAGTACAAGAAGAAACTGGGGCAACACCCTTCTCACCTGTGTCTGGGCAGAGACTCGAGCCCTCGAGTAATCCATACGTTTTTCCGAGTTTTTGACGTGTTTGAATGATTTTGATCTAGCCTAGCCTAGCCTAGCCTAACCTAACCTAACCTAACCAAGTTTCCAACCTAATCTACCCAAGCCACAGAACTCAGAAACTATATCCAACCTAACCTAAATTCCTAAGATTCTCTGGATGACCGAAACGATTACACTATAGACCTAAGTATTATAATTTCGGTCATGCGGGGAATCTTAGGAATTTAATTATTGGAGGCAGTAGTTTAAACAATTCTAAGACACTTTTCTTCTGCAGCATTTCCGTAGGAAATTGATATTTTTTCGAGTATTTTAAACGGTAAAATTACCACCAATATTACTTGTTCAAAGTCTTTGATATAGTTAAATTCCTAAGATTCCCCGCATGACCGAAACTATAATTTTACCCAAAAATATTACAATTATGATGAAAAGCGACAAAAATTTCAGTAATATTGTCAGATTTTGAATTACGGTCTCTTAGTCTTAGCCATTAACCACTTTACCACTGGGGCGGTCAGTCGGTCACGTGTCTCTTACGTACAATACTGTTGATCATGTACTGTACTGGCTCTCAAGTGTGCCAGAACAGTGGCTGTACTAGTGTCTTCCTCCTTACATCAAGGAAACAATTGATCGTATTAACACCTGCCCACGTCTGTCCAGGGTTCGAACACCGGAACACAATATTAAGATACACGTATTACCACTGTGCCATCGGTTTAGTTGCACTGTAGACTTACTACGGAAAGACTCAAAGTAATTTTATTACCAAAATATTCGTACTCTATGCATTTTAATTAGCAAGTGTTTTTTTTTTTTTTTTACGGGAATTAGCCCACCCGGACACAGGTTAAACGACCCACAACGGGGACTGGGGGGCGAAAAAAAAGAACAGAAAGAAATTGAAAATAGAGAAGAAAAAGAACATACTGTGTTAATCTACACCACGAAGATGCCGGAAAACCAGCTTTTTAAAGTGAGACAGATTGTATAAGCATGGAAACACAGAAGAAGGCAGAGCATTCCACAGTTTGGCTGTGTGAGGAAAGAAGGATGTACTATAACGGGTTATTCTCGTGTGACCATTCATCCACAGAGGAACGGTGGGCACCGCGGGCAAGACTTGTGTTACGAGCCCACGACCTTGCCGGCGGTACACAGGATGCCAAATCCACCGAACATTGCCCGTTAAAGTACCTGTAAAAGAGAGAGAGTGAAGCAACATTGCGGCGAAAAGAAAGGGAAGAGAGATTATCGACTAAAGGAGGAGAGTTAATAAGACGAAATGCCTTTGATTCCACCCTATCTAATAGTTGGACAGAAGAAGAGCCACCCCAGATATGAGAGCAGTACTTCAAGTTAGGACGAATGAATCCCTTATATACTTGGAGCAACTAACTGCTCAGGAGTAAAGTAGCTACGGCATCTGTACAGCATTCCCAACTTTCGGGAGGCAGCTTTAGCTATATTAAGGATGTGTGATTTCCAGGACATTTTGCAGGAAATGGTGAGGCCTAACATGTCTTTTTCAGAATTTGGCAGGATGATAGCGTCCTGAAATGTAATTGGTGGGAGATCGTCTAATTTACAAAGTGTAATTGATAAATATTGAGTTTTATTACTATTGAACTTAACCAAGTATGTACCTCCCGATTCAGATGCTGCACAGATCCGCATTGATAGATTTAGTTTGAGATTTAGGAGGAAGGGGAAAATATGAAGAAGAGTGAAAAGTAGAATCATCAGCGTAAGAATGGATAGAATTAGTTGTAGTGTGAAGTAAATCATTGATAAAAAGAAGGAAGAGAGTAGGTGAAAGAACGGAACCCTGTGGAACACCACTATTGGTTGAGAAAGAGCGAGAGATCGATCCCTCGACAACAACTGCCATGGATTGGTTTTCAAGGAAGCTAGAGATTAGAAAACAAAGTGGGGGAGAGAAACCAAAAGAGGGAAGTTTAGATAACAAAGACTTGTGCCATACCCTGCCAAATGCTTTGGAGATGTCGAAGGCCACGACGAAAGTGTCCCCATAATCCCTAAGAGAGGATGACTAAAGATGAGTGCAATAGGAGAGCAGATCACCAGTAGATCTCGCCTGGTGATACGACAAAAGAGAAAGGCGTTCAAGGTGACGGAGAAAATGGGAGTTCAAGATAGTTTCGAAAATCTTAGAGAGGGATGAAGTTAGGGCAATGGGGCGATAGCTAGAGGGATTAGAATGGTCACCCTTCTTCGGGATGGGATGAACCAAGGCATGCTTCCAAGAAGAAGGAAAAGTTTGGGTTTTGAGGCAGAGGCGAAAGAGGCGAGCAAGTATAGGGGCCAGCGCTTCAGCACACTCCCTCAGAACACGAGGGGGTATTCCGTCCGGTCCATGCGCCTTACTCACATTGAACAACATTAAATTTTCGAGATCATGGCGGCTGGAAATTAACTTTTTCATCTACAGTACTTAAGAACATTCAGATTATCACACAAATCACACAATCATAGGTGGTGAGTAATTATCGACACAAAACTAATTCAATTCATCAGTGTTTAGGACAAGCCATTACTGTACTGTACTCCAAATTCCAGCTTTTTGTCCCCTGAAGAGCTTATCTCCTTGTACACCAACGGTGACCCAACAACATACATTTTTCTTTCTTTTGTTTAATTGATATAGTGATAATTAATCCCCTGAACAGTTAAATACAAAAAAAAGAAGCTGAGCAGAACACAATCAAGAACAAAAAATATGGTGTCGTCTGGTGCCTCGTTTTATCCCCAAGGAACATTAACCGCTGCAGGAACACTTACTGTGGTGAGGGAAGAGTCGTGCAGGTGAAGTGTCATCAAGTTAGTGAAGCTCAAGGTAGTTGACTTGAGTTCAGCTTCATTCCAGCATCTGACGGACAGCGAGATAACATTGGGTGACACTAGATCAGGGATGCTCGAGCAGTTCACTGACATCACCACTTCGTGCAGCTCCGTGAAATCCGACATATCACCGGCTGCAATATGGCAGGTTAATGTAACTGTTGATTCCATGTCTGGTTACGAAATTATTATGGTTCCTCCGAGTTGCAGGGGAGACGAGAGTGTACAGTAACCAAGGAACTAATTCTCGTGACAATAGAGTAACGGAGAGTAAAATGGTGATGTAGAAAAAATTAAGACAAAAAAGAATATCTGAGAGAAAATCAGGAGCTGCCAACGTGGAATTAAATGTGCAGAATCAAGTAGATGGATAAATGATCAGTGTAGTTTGCGAGACGTAAATTTTCAATAACCACTCCCGCCTCCATCAGGGAAAATAGCATCCAGCTCCAGTAGGGATGGGGAGGAAGGGGAGTGGAGAACAATACTACACCTTATTTTCTTTTGCATCCTACTAATAAATACACTTAAGATCAAAAGAGTTGATCAGCTGAACCCTAAAAGAAACTTTCCTTTTGTGAAATTTGAGGATTTAATTTCTTAACTCGCTTTACAAAGTCTTAAATCTGTCTCTGATGAGATACTGAAGTCTAATACCAACACATAGATCATCTACAGATTAGACCTTAGCTTATTTCACCTTAAAAATTACCACCCTAACGCAAACCTAACGTAAAATGACCTATCCTAACATGACCTAACGCTAACATGACATGATCTAACCTAACCTAACATGACCTAACCTGACATGACCTCACCTAAATCACTCCCAGGTATCGCTTGGGTGTTTAATAATCAGGTAATACAAACTGGGGGCTAATCTTGAGATGATCCATCATCTCCAACTTCAACTTACGTAAAGGGAAGGTTTCCATGTCATCTGAAAACTCGAAGAAAGATAACTCGGCATAAGAATCCTCAAAGGCGGTGGGTTCCACGCTTATCAGGTTGTTATCGTACATTATCACCTCACGGAAGCTGAAGCCATTGAACACCTCCTTCGTCAGAGACCCGTTAGAGAATTCGCTGTTGCTGACCTTAAAATGGGAAATAAAAGATCAATTTAATCTAAAAAGTAATGGTAATCAAAAGATAACAGTAAAATAAACGTTTGCAGAAAATTACATAATATTAAACAAATATTCCTGGTATTTTTATATTTCCGGAAGTTATTAAAAATAATTTATACGTTGGTTAATATTATATCTTATCATGAAAGAGTTAAAAGGCTCTAAAGGCACACAAAATTAAAAAAAAAGTGTTCCCGGTATTTAATAGCCCTTGCTAATTTAAACTTAATATAACTATACCTAGATAGTGCTAATGTTGCTTAAAATATCAGTTTAATTACAATCAATAATATAAGATGACTTTACAGTATATACAATGTTCAGGACGTTTCCAGTCATTCAGAAGAATACAGTTACCTACATATGTAATATACTAACAAATTTAACAATGAAACTGATTTGAAATATGGTAACTAACAATATGGAGCAGGAAATTTTTACGTGTCGAGCAGGCAAGGCAATGGGATGTTGCAGGGTGATAATAATACATGGAGAGAAGAGCCTGTAGTGGACTTCTCCCCTACAACTGCGTAGCGGCGTCACCAGCTGCTACAATCTTCCCTAGCAACCAAGCGAGAGGCGACACCAGATGTTACTGTTACCTAGCAACGGAACCAAAAGACCGGCGACTTTCTCGGGTTTTCCCAACATGACTCATAGAGGACTCACGGCTGCTGGGTATATAAGCTCTGTCTCTCCATTGAGATTCATTCTGGCATTCTTCTTGAACACGCAACACCTCCTCCAGCAAGCTCCACGCTGTCCAGCATTCATTCAACCAGGAGGCCAGCAACAGGCAACATCTTCTCTAACGAAGCTCCTGCACATCTACCTCCTTCAACACGCTACTCACCGAACGTCTCTACTGAGCAGCTCCTCACCACACGGCATCTCCAGCACCAGACTGTCTATCATATAACTTATATTATACAAGAAAACCACCTTAGAGTTTCCATCCATCCTGAGTGCTAGACAACATTATACCACGAATTCCTACAATGGTGACTCCCGGAGATAAGCACTCACACAGGATGGAGGACGGACGGATCTCTCTGCCGACTTTCAACCACAACGTCGAGGACTGGCTAGACCATGCGGAAGCAGCCCTCGCCGGCTCATGAGCGACCGACGAGCAAAAGTATGGCGCCCTGCTCTGTGCCTTGCCCACGGAAGTGGCCACGCGGGTCTCACAAACCATTTCCAACCCTCCAGATGACAACAAATTCGCTACTCTGCGGGCTGCCTTGAAGACGTGTTATCAACAGACCAGCCCCAATCTCCTGCAAGATCTATCCTCTATCTCCCTCGGGAACTCAACCCCGGGACGTCTCTGGGAGGAGATGTGTCGGCTGAACTCCCGTCACACAGACAGACTCCCCGACTCTATCCTGCGCCAGCTTCACGCACAAAAGCTACCCACAGAAGTACGCAACATCCTGTCCGCAGTAGATTACTCTACGACACCAGAACTATATGCAACCGCGGCAGATAGAATTTTTAACGAGTGCGCTGCTGCACCCCTTGCCGCCACGGTCACACCAGTACCTACCATCGAACTTGTAAGCCGGGTCAACACCCCTCAGCCGAGCAATACCTCACAAGACATCAAGGACCTGTTGCAAATTTTGAACCGCAGGATGGACACCATTGAGCAGTTCTGCTCCTCCATACCCGCTGCTGCACCAGTTCCTGAATCACACACCACGCCCTACAAGTTCCGACACACAGCAGCCAACCCCCAGCACAACAAATTTTCCCTCTGCTGGTATCACCAGACTTTCGGCCGCAATGCTCGAAACTGTGAGCCCTATTGCACCTATTCGGGAAACGGCAACACTGGAGGCTGGGAGACGCCTCAGCCTCCGTCCCTCCAGGCGTCTCATTACTGCGCGTCACCGACCACACCTCCGGCAAGAAGTTCCTCATCGACACAGGTTCATCGGTCAGCCTCATCCCTCCCTCACTACGAGACAAGTCAAAGCAACCCTCGTATGACCTGTTCGCTGCCAACGGTACCTCCATCGCCTCCTACGGCGTACGCACCCTCGCCTTAGACCTCGGTCTGCCCAAGACTCTGCGTTGGTTATTCGTAATAGCAGACGTGTCTCAACCCATCCTTGGTTTCGACTTCCTCACCTTCCACAAGCTCGGCGTCAAACCAAGTCATCTATGCCTCATCCATGAGCCTACAGCACGCAAGATCCAGGGTTCTCGTGCCAGACACACCGACACTATCACCTGTCTTGCGCCTTCCAACGAGTTCTCCTCCCTGCTCGACGAATTCAAGGAGCTTTTCTCACCCCGAGTCTCCCTACCCCCACCACCTACATCGGGAATTTTCCACCACATCGAAACCAAAGGACCACCAGTCTTTTCAAGCCCTCGCCGCCTGCGCCCTGAGCTCCTGAACACAGCCAAAGTAGAATTCAACAAACTACTGCAAGACGGCATCATTCGCCCTTCAAGGAGTCCCTGGGCATCGCCTCTTCACATGGTTCCTAAGCAAACACCCGGCGAGTGGAGGGTGTGTGGCGACTACAGAGCCCTGAATCTCGTCACCAAACCTGACAGGTACCCTATTCCGCATGTCCAGGACTTTCACCACAAACTTCATGGCAAGACTATCTTCTCGAAGATCGACTTGGAGCGTGCCTTCCACCAAATCCCAGTAGCACCGGCAGATACCCAGAAGACAGCCATCACCACTCCGTTTGGACTCTTCGAGTACACTTTCATAAGTTTTGGCTTACGCAATGCAGCACAGACTTTTCAGAGGTTCATGGACCATATGCTTCGCGACCTCGATTTTGTCACCGTCTACATTGACGACATCCTCGTCGCATCTTCGACGCCTGCCGAGCACCGCCACCACCTACAACTCCTTCTCCAACGCCTGCAGAACAACAACATGAAAGTTCATCCTGCTAAGTGCGTCTTTGGAACCTCGGCCATCGATTTCCTCGGTCACAGAGTCTCGCCCAGTGGCATACAACCCCTACCACATAAGATAACCGCGATTAGGGAGTTCCCCAAACCTGAAACGGCGAAGAAACTCCGAGAATTCCTGGGTTTAGTCAACTACTACCACCGCTTCATTGACAAAGCTGCCACCGTCCTAGCCCCCCTACACGACCTTCTCAAGGGACACCCAAAGAAGTCTCACAAGTCTCTCATGTGGGCTCAAGGGGCTACTACGGCATTCACCACTATCATACAGCACATTACACGCCTCACCCTCCTGGCCCACCCCGCACCTAACGCCCAGACCACTCTCACAACAGACGCTTCTTCTACTGCAGTGGGCGCCGTCTTACAGCAGGAGATCAACGGAATTTTCATGCCCGTTGCTTTCTTCTCACAACGGCTTCAACCACCACACCTCAAGTACAGCGCTTTTGATCGAGAACTCCTGGCCATATACCTGGCTGTCAAACATTTCCAGCACTTCCTCGAGGCCCGTCAGTTCACCATCTTCACTGATCACAAGCCCCTCGTCCACGCCTTCGCTTCAGCTTCCCAGTCACATACACCTCGTGTCCTGCGCCACTTGGCTTACATCTCGGAGTTCTCCAGCGACGTCCAACACATTAAAGGCAGCCACAACGAGATCGCCGACGCCCTCTCTCGTTGTATATCCACCATTCTTCCCTCATCTCCACCCATTGATTATGGGCAGCTAGCCGCGGCTCAAGAGAAAGACGAAGACCTGGCAGCATACAAGACATCCCCCTCAGGCCTCATACTCCAAGAACTCCCTGTTCCTGACACAAAGATAAAATTGTGGTGCGACGTATCCTGTGGACAGCCTAGACCGTTCGTGCCTCACGTCCACCGCCGCGCTGTTTTCGACCGCATCCATGGTCTCAGCCACCCGGGTGTGCGGGCCTCCCAGCGCCTCCTCACGCAACGTGTCGTCTGGCCCGGCATCAAGTCTGATACTAAGAAATGGGCTGCCCAGTGCCTGGCCTGCCAGTTCTCCAAAATACATCGTCACATACGGGCCCCCTTACAAACCTTCCCTATTCCGAAAGGACGTTTTCAAGTAGTACACCTCGACATCGTGGGACCTCTACCATCATCCTACGGTAGCACCTACATCTTCACCTGCATCAACCGTTTCACCAGGTGGACAGAAGCAATTCCCATGCCTAACGCTACAGCAGAGACTACTGTCCGCGCCTTCATGTCCGGTTGGGTTTCCCGTTTTGGCCCCCACGCAACCGTAATCACTGACCGAGGAGTACAGTTTGAGTCACAACTCTGGCAGCACCTCCTACAGTTCCTCGGCACGTCTAGACAACGCACTACAGCATACCACCCTCAAGCCAACGGCATGGTAGAGCGTTTTCACCGGCAGCTGAAGGACGCACTCAAGGCACAGCACGACCCTTACAGCTGGACTGATGCGCTTCCCTTAGTGCTCCTCGGCATCCGTGCGTCACACAAGGAGGATATGGACTGTAGCCCAGCAGATCTGACACTAGGCGAGCCCCTTCGGCTACCCGGGGATTTCTCACTTCCTCCTGATCCCAACCAAACCACTCCAGCCGTTCGTCACGACTTACTCCAAAAGCTACGACAAGCAGTTTCTGCATTCAGAGCTACTGCTCCACGCCAGCCTACTCGGCGCCCTGAACACATCCCTCCTGCACTACTCACAGCCGAGTATGTTTTTGTCAGGCATGATGCTCACAGCAACCCATTACAACGCCCCTACGATGAACCCTTCCAGGTGGTTACCCGTTCAGCAAAGTTCCTGACAATTATCCGGAATGGCAGACATGACACCGTCAGCATAGACCGAGTCAAACCGGCCGCCTTACCCGTCGGGCCCCCAGCCCAGCAGCACCATCAACAAACTACGCCTGCACCAGTCTACCCGCAGTTACCACCGGCAGCAACACCACGCCCACGACATTTCTGGGCACCCTCTTTTCACCCTCATGTACAGCCTGCTCCTGTCATAG